GCGCCGTGCCTCCAGCGCCAGGGGGCGACGGCCGCGGCCGCGGCCGCCGGCGCGGTTCTCCTGCCGCCGCTGAGGTGACGCAGTTCGTTGGGCTCCCTGTGGGGAGCAGGGGGCAGGCCGCGGGCCTCTGCCCCGCAGCGACACTCAACCGTGTTGCATCTGGTGGGCCTCTGTCCCGCATGGATACAAAACCGCTTTGGATCCAGTTGTCCTCTGGCCTACATCGATTCAAAACCGTTTTGGATCCGGTGGTCCTCTATCCTCCAGTGATACGAAACCATTTTGTCCCCCCAGATTTTCCTTCTCTTCCCCATGCTCAAAAGCCATTGGCGACGCGTAGGGAGTGTACGCGGGTGCACGTGCACCCCCTGAGTGTGGCAGTGCACCCCCTGTGAGAAGGTGCTGTCAACGCTGCCAGCAGCGCCTGTGGACAGTTGCCACCTGCCACCCCCCCTTGCCACCAGCACCACCAGTGGCGTTTGTGGGCTGTTCCTGATCGCTGCTGGCTGCTGCTGCCGGTGGCATCTGCATGTGGTCTCTGACTGCTGGTAGGTGCTCGCCACCCCCTTCCCCTTGCTGCTGATACCACCGGATGATGGCTGTGGGCAGTTCACGATCGCCACTGGTTGCCGCTGATGTTGCCAGTGGCATGTGCGGGTGGTTGCTGACCGCTGGTAGGCACTCGCCACCCCCATCGACAGCACCGCGACCGCCTGCACCAGCTCCCTGCTTGCCACCGCCACGCTCCCAATGCCAGCAGCACCACTGCCACCCGTGGGAGCTCGCCATGCCCCCACATCCCTCGGGGCACGCAGCATTCATGCCAGACACCTTTCTGGTGTCTGTTTTTCTCTTAAAGAAAAATTGCTGCGGGATGATTGCTGCAGGATTGAAGAGAAAAATAGAGGATCTAAAAGCGCCTGGTTTTGTATCAGAGGAGGACAGAGCAGCAGAAAACTGGAATGTCCCCTATGATGGCCACCCTAGTGGGAAGATCTCAAGCCTTTATGAAGATGGCATGAGATCCTCCTTAGCTTGCTCCTACAGCTGAGAGCGAGCGAAACCCAGGGGTATCCGAACCCCACGTCTCTGGGCTTGGGCCTGCATGGAGGAAGCCCGCCGAAGGATTTGGAAGTACAGGCAGTCCTCAACTTAAGATGTTTCGAGTTACAATGGATGGCACTTAAACATTTATAAATTGACACCCTGTTTCGAGCTTCTGACACCCGTTTTGACTTTACGATGCTTGATCCACGCCGTGCCGGTGAACAAGTTCACTGTGTCACCCGTCTCCCTGGAGAACATCTGTCCACACTTCCTTGGACACTTTCTTTAAGAAAGCAGACAAGACTCCAGAAAAACCTGCAGACAAGATGCCTGAGAAGACTCCCGCCAAGAGCCCTCCAAAAAGTCCACCAAAGTCACCTCAAAGAAGTCCTTCCGAATCAATGATTGCTATTTACAATATAAATAGATTAATATAGCTATATTACCTATAACTGAGTACAAAATGCTGGGTTATTTTTGGTGAAACTAGGGTATTGGGCCTTGGTTCAGGAGCCAATCCCTCATTTATAACATTGTTCCTATGGGAAAATTGGTTCTGAGTTGTAGCAGTTCAACTTAAGATGCAGTTTTCAGGAACCGATTGTGTCGTAAGTCTGAGAACTGCCTGTATCTGAAGCCGCAAGTGGACGTGGAGGATGGTTGCTGGCGGTAGGGCCACATATGATTTTTGAATGGCTCATGGATTTGGAATTGATTTGGCTGATTTGATTTGGGACAGGAAAAGTTTTCCTTAAAAAAAAAAATCTCTGCTCTCTCTGCTCTGCTTCAAGGGCTTTGCCCCACCCAAGCAAGAGGGTGCAGAGGGCAGACGTGTCTGCAGCTCTCCACTCTGGGTTGCCCACTGTTAGTCTGCAGGTGCCCTCCTTGAGGAGGGCAAGAGGTGTCCCAGCACACAGCCCTCAGCCCGATTGCTTTTAACCCACTTAGTTCACCTGAGTAGACTGCCCTGCCACAGGTTGGGATGAGAGGGAGAGGATCCCTCACCTGGTGTCTCCTACGCTGTGAGAATGACATTTTCTTCTACGTTTTGTGTGTGAGACTTTTCCCTGATGCCACCCACTCTTGTGATTCTTTTTTGGCAAGATAGGTGATGTCAGGGCTGGATGCAGGCATGGATGAACTGGGTGGCTGCCCAGGTCCTGGACAGAAAAGGGGCCCAAAGTGGTAATTTTTAAAATTTATTATTATCATCATTATCTCTGGCAAAAGGGGGCCCGGTACTGAAAGATCACCCAGGGCCACCAGGACTCTAGGTTTGGTGCTGGGCCACCAGGACTCTAGGTTTGGTGCCGGGTGATGTTAAGCATTGCAGGGATGAATTCAAATACCATAGGAAGGAGGCACAGCTCAAAAGCTGAAGTAGAGAAAAAAAAGCAGAGTCTTTCACTGGCTTTCCCTAGGCACAAGCCTCTGGTTGAACAAAAGCCTCATTTCACAGGGAGACAATTAGTCCAGATCTGCAGCTCATGTGAATTAGTAAATTCTCTACTCATTTGACTTGACCTGGTTTCCTGTCCTGCAGTTGTGAAAACACTGGATTGTGTCTTCTCAACAATGCACAGACTTTTTAAGGGAAAAGAACCAGGCCGTGTACTCATGACACAAACAAGTGAAGAGGAGCAGGGCGTCCACTCCCAAGACACCTCCAGACGTGCCCCGCTCGTTTTAGGTAACCACTTCATATCTACAGCCGCTTGTCCTGATCATCACTTGCTGCATGTCATCAAGCCATCCAGAGTTCCTATTTCAAGAGATATCTTTTAAAGACCACTTCTACTATTACAGATCACCTTCCTTCTCCCTACAACAGGAAAACCTGATCTTCTGCCCCACACTTGGCATTGGACATACCTTTCGGGTTAGCTTTGAATGTGCACTCTCACATGCTGTTGTGGCTTCTAATCATTTTGACCCACTGGTGTCTCTCTCAGTTCGTACTGGGGCTTCCTGGCTTTGGTGAAGGGCACTTTTATTTACTAACAAGGGGCAATATTTTCAAGTGCTCCTAAGTAGTTTTAGAAGCCTTTGTCTCCTAAGGGCCTAGGAAGATGCTTCTGAAAAAAAGGAGTTAGGAAAAAAATCACCTTCATCTTCATTAGAAGCCAACTATTTGACAGATTAGGAAGTAGATGGAATGGAAATTTTTCACATTTTTAAAATTTTTAAATAAAAAAGGGCCTTTTTGGGAAAAAAAAACTCCTTCGGGGAAGGGACGGTCTTTTATTTGGCTATTAATATTTGTGCCCCTTTCCATTTTAATTTTGTTAAATTACTGAAGTGGTTATTATGTTTTCCATTAACCATTGCAATAAGATTTCCAGTGACGGTTGAACAGACTCCCTGCCATTATGAAAATATTTCCTTACAAAGCAGGACATACCCCAGGTTTGGCAGACTGTAATGCTCCATTAGGGTGCCCTTCATCCCAGGTGCCCGTCATCTCAGGTGCAATTCCATCTCTAGTTCTTTTGTAACTTCATGATTATGACAGTGTTTTGTTATCTGAAAACCTGAGTGTTTTTGATGCCAAAGCATCATAGAACTAAAATGTAAGCAGGGCTTGGCCTATTCAGTTGTTTCCCCAGCTCACCAACACTGGAGATCCCCTTATCAGCAGGTGCCAATAGAGAGATTCCTATTTACTAGGGGCTTCAAGCCACCAAGCTTGCAGACAAAACCATGCAAATTCTGCTTCTGCTCAGGAAAGTTTCAGACGCATTTCCCCTAACCCTCCCCAAGAAAACTGATTCTGCCTAAAAAAAGAGAGAGAGAGAAGAGAGAGAGAGATTTGCAGGGTTCGGGAGAAGACTTGTCTCTTAGATTTAGTTAAACCACAGGGACTGCCCTTGGTTTCTTTTTCAAGGCTGTGACCACTTCATGGTTGCTGCTGCAAGAAGTCTGGTGATAGAAACAGGAAGTTGCTCTCTCTAGGTAGAGATTAATAATGCAATTAGTTTATGTTTCTGTACCCCGCTTTCTCTAGGAGAATTCTGTAGTGCTTAACGAAAATGAAATGGGCAGGAGATCAGGCTGCAAGTGTGAATTAAAGGAGGGATTTGGGCCTTTTGGTTTTGAGAGGCTCCAACAACTGGAATTAAAGAAGGGGACATCACAGATTTCTGGGTTGTGTCTACACTGCTGTCTGGAGTCACAATGACAACATGCACACTTAAGCTTGCATTTAAATAGCTGCCCTGTCTTCAACAGCAGCACACATCTAGCCACTGAGCATAGATCCTGTCCTGCCCCACCTAGCGCTACCTGTGCTAGCTAGTCCTCTCCTGTCCATCTCCATGAGTTATAATCACGTCTTTTGAACACCTCATTTGTTGCAAATGGTGAAGGTTGGGGAGGCAAATACACCAAGATATACAGGCCAAGGAGACCAGCTACCAAAGGGTCCAACTTCAGTATTGACTGCCTAAAGCTTCTAGCTGGATATTCTTTATTACACCTTGAGGCAACCCTCCATTAAGCGTGCTGCTTGTGGAGACAAAGCACCCGATTCTTCTGCTTTCACAGGTTTTAAGCCATTGTATGAATAGATTCATAGATTCATAGATTCATAGATTCATAGATTCAGGGTCGGAAGGGACCTAGTAGATCTTCTAGCCCGACCCCCCGCCAGGGCGGGAGAACAACAAAAACCCCAAAAAGAGAAATGGGACTCAAACGAGTCCAGCTAGGTGGGCATCCAGCCTCTTCTTAAAGACCCCCAGGGTAGGGGCCAGCACCACTTCCCTTGGAAGTTGGTTCCAGCTCCTAGCCGCCCTAACGGTGAAGTAGTTTTTGCGGATGTTCAATCTATACCTCCTCTCCAACAGCTTGTGCCCATTTCTCCTTGTTATGCCAGCGGGCGCTAGGGGAAACAGCGT